AGTTTTACAGTATTAGTATCAATCGCTTTTTGCGTGTCGGTATTTAATTTTAAATTCCAGTATATATTTTAAATTCCGGTACGTAACTGATCTTTGGGCGACGCTAGGGAGGTTGAAATTACACCACTGGACATTTCACGACAATACGGTACTATGATTCTATTTAAAGGTCATAAACAGGAACACGGGTTTACTAATTTCCCCACCACTTCACTATCGGAGTACTATAAATTTAATTAATAGCACAGAAACTCCGATGTGTGAAATAATTAGTAAACCAATCAGAAGTGGTGGGAAATTAGTAAAACTCATTTCATTTTGCCTCAATAGGAATGTTATCGGCCTGTATATTTGACTATTATAAAAACCGATTAATAATAGAGCCGAACGGGCCGAAAACATAGCATAGTATAAAGTGCGAATATATTTTTAATAGTATGTTAAAATGTAATTTAGTAGCTCAAGATTAGTTAATCAACGCCCGTCAGGATATTGTTTTGAAAGAAGTCCTAATGATCTAGCTTTCATCGAAACGAAATGTGAGAAAAGATGAATAATTTTAATTTTATTTATAGCTTTTTTAATAGTATGTTAAATGTAATATTTTTATTAAAACCTAAAAGATGAATACATTCATCTTTAAGAAAAAAAATTATTATTTTTGATATGGGTCCAAAAAGAATTACATTGAGCAATAGAGCGCTTGAATTTAAAGATAATTCCTATAGAAAGGATAATTGACTTATATGTATATTTTGTCAATAGTTAATTTTTTTTTTCAATATCTGATATAAATTACTCTGATACACTTTTAAAAAAATGTTTTTTAATTAATGATGAATAAATCAAACAAATCAACTTTTTGTTTAGTTGAGCGCAGTATTTAAAAATATTTTTATTAACATTTTGTTTAGTTGAGCGTAGTTGTAAGTTTTTTTTTTTACATAGTAACATCATTAAATCGCACTTTAATTTTTAATCATCGGTAAATCGAATATCTTATGAGTGCTGCCAAGGTAAAATGTATAAAATTTTTTAAAAAACCTTTAATATCCTTACAACCACTCGACAAATCTAATAATATTTTTATCCGATTTTACAGATTGAATTCAAATAAAAAAAATATATCAGATTTGATCAAGTGGTTGTTAAGATATCGTCAATTAAAGTTTTAAAAAATTTTATAGCATAATGTCTGAAGAGACATTTTCCCTTGGTAGCACTCATATATACCGCACGCATAATTTACAAATTATTATCGCATAAATTCCATGTCCTTGTCATAAAATCACATCAAACGTCGCTAAGATGACTATGACAAGTCATAGTGCATTTCACTACGTACGTACATGATACATAATACCAGATACAGTACTATATTACGCGTACTATTTTACGTGATAGTAATCTTTTTTACATATGTACATTAGCATTGATATAGTTTTCCTAAAAATAAGATTTTAGAACGTAATCCGAAAAATAGTTAAGCCTATTTCAACTTATATAAGCTTTTAAACAAATTAGTGTTTCTATACTAAGTTATTTATTCATAGGCTTCTTCAGGATTCGAAGTTTTCAGTTAAATTCGCAAATTTTAGAACATTAGTAAATATTATATTTATTGTTTGATTAGTACATATAAATTATAAATTATAAATTATAAATATTTGTATTTCTTCAATTGTTTGCAACCAAAGATATTGTGCTTAGTTGATATCCATTTTAAATAACTAAAGTCAAATATTTAAGGCTATGGATCGGTAAATGGCTTAATGTAATCTTTCCAATAACTTGGTACTCCAACACAATTTGGTGCAGCTCTAACGGTATTAAAATATTCTAAATTGATTATATATATGGTTAATAAGAGAAGGTAAATAAATAATTTATACGGTCAAACCTCCGTAAATGCATTCTAGAGAGCAATAAGAAATATGCTTTAATGGAGATTAAAGCATATATTTGAGCTAGCGTTTTAGCTTGCATTTAAAAAGGTCTGATCGTATTTTTTTCAAAGCATTAAAAAAAAAAGTGCGTATCACCAGCGGCGACAGTCATTGGAGTGACAAATCAGATCGTGTAAAAACCAAAACAAAAATGCGTTAAAGCACTGTAGTGTTAAGGTTAAGTATTTGTTAAAATAGAAAAAAGTTTCATTGGTGAAATATTGTGATAATAGAATTTTCGCGCTTTTGGTGTTACACGATCTAATTAATCGATCGAACTCCGGTGACCATCACTGCAGGTTACAAATAGACTAAATATATTTTTAAAGATATACCTTTATAAACATCACCGTCGAATTTTCCCAAAGGAGCTTGTAAGATAAAATCTGGATATCCCCACGCATCGACGAGAGGTATAATTTCTTTTCTCAACTCTTTACACATCCTGAAGTAAGCATTTTTTACAATATTAGCTTGTTCTTTTCCAAAATAACCTTCTTCTAGAAATTCTTTTAATGATTCGTATATTAAATGAATTGACCATAATTGTCCTAATTTTGTAAGAATTGGACATAAATTTTGAAACTCTGGAATTGAATTTTGGTATTTAGAAATGCCTTGAATATACTCCGAAAGACAGTATCTGAATGAGTGAAGTTCTGAAAGACGTATCAAAGAGATTTGATTATTATTCCATGTTACAGACAAATCTTCTTGAGATTGCGTAAATGTCGTGAAAAGGTATTGTAACTGAAGATTTAAATTTATTATAATGTTAATATTTAATTTCCAAAATAATAATAACAATATTATTATTATTATTATTATTATACGTTGCTCTGGATATATCGACATTTTTTTTCATTAGCAAAAAATTCAATGTCAATACAGTGAATTATACCGACATTTTATATTAAAATTTTGAAAAATTTTGAAAAAAATGTCGATATAGAAAGATTCTACTATGATATCGTTATAACCAGAGTAACGTGTATTATTATTAAGAATTACCTTTTGTCCAATTAGCCAAGTGTACATATCCAAATTGTATTTCATATCATATAATTGCTTTTCATTTAATAAATCACTCTTAACAATTTTCGAAAATTGTTTAATGTTGTTAAAATATTCAACAGAACCAGAAAGTTGTTTCCCTTGGACCATTTTTTCGTATGAACTTATCAAGTATCTCTAGAATATAATAAAAAATTTTAAAATTTTCAATATCTACACAATAATATTATAACAGATATTATAAATAGTCATAATCATATTTACGGCTGTTTGTTGTAAAAGTACAAAATTATCACCACCGCCTAATTCAAGAAAAATCGACAAATCAAGATAAACAAAACCATAGACGAATAAATTTCACATTAAAAGATTTGAAGTTACCGGTAGTAGTAACACCCCAATCTCCGATAGCAGGTCCGATAGCATTATAAGCTGAATAAGCGTGACCACCCAGAGATCTTCTACATCTTTCAAACATTTCACTACCCCACCATGTTATAGTTCCTTTTAGGCCTGAAGATAATGCATGTACGTCAGTAACATTTTTTAAAAACTCAGCTTGATTCGTATGTATTTGTTTTATTAACTCTTCCCATTGAATTTTAATAGCTCTATATTAGAATTTGCAAAATGATGCGGTTTAACTTTTTGATAAACACAGAGAAAAAAAAAGATTAATTTTTTTAAAGAATAGATTAGATAAAGATTACCTATCCACGATATTAATAACATAAATGCTAGCAACACAAGGAACAAGTCTGACGTAATGAGTTTGATAATTCATAATTTGTCCATCATCAGCACTCTGACGTCTAACACAACCATATCTACAAGCAATAGCCAACGCTCTTCCCAAAGCATTTTGTGTTCCAGAGAGAACTGTTAATCGTTCGCCAATTAAAGGCGTATAAGCAATTGCAGGATTTTGTGGTGGTATATATTTTCCATCTTCAGTTACTTTTGACCATTTCATTAACATATTTTTTCGTGGAATACGAACATTAGAAAATTGTATCCATCCACTATCTAGGCCATGTCGACCATATTTTGCACCAAGATCACCAGCCGTAACTCCAGGAAGTAAATGACCAGTTTTGCGATCTCGCATTGGGACTACAAACCAGTTAATGCCGTAATTTTCTGAATCAATTATAGTTTGACATATTGCAACAGTATGCGTAGCTGTCTGAGATAAATCGATTAATAAACATAATGCAGTGTTTTTTTTTGGTTTTTTTTTTGATATTAAGTTTAAATACCTGGCCTGCCATTCCTATCCACCTAGTAGTAGAAATTGTTTATTTATTAGATGTTATTATTAAGATTTAATTTTAAACACTCGTAATACCATTTTGTAGCCGTTAAAGTTGGAGAATTGATAATAAATTCGTCATGAATTCTATCATAAGTTGCAGTAGTTTCTAGACCACGTATAAAAGAACTATTAAATTATATAGTAAATTTTCATTGGTGATTATTATACAAAATTTCCTCATATAATAAGACGAACCTGTGACCCAATTCAGTCTAAAATAAATCGTAAACAAAGATTAATTTGCTAAATTGCATCGACTATCATATGGTCATTGTAAACCTTTACCATAGCAAAACATCCAATAATTCTCCAATTTAAAACATCATCCATCCATTCGTCTTAAAATTCAAAATAAATTGTAAAATCAATAAAATTTATTTGAAATAATAATAATAATAATAATAATATTATTATTATTATATTATTATTATTATTATTATTATTATATTATTATTATTATTAAAAAAAAAGTACCTTGTTGTTCTTTTGTTCCAAAAAATTCAATAGATTGGCGAAATAAAGTATTGTGAACATATATTTTCATCGAAAACGCTTCAGAATAAAGGCTATAATAATTAAGCATGATGATTTAATCACTAAATAACAGTTCAACAAAGTTTTTATGAAAAACAGGTATAAGACAACTTACCACATCGCGATTTCTAAGGCTCTACGTAATAATGGATCTTTTAACGTTTCGTGAACTCTTTGGTATCTCAAGGCTTGCCGTTGGACGCTTCACAATAGTAAAAACGGAAGAATTATAAAATTATCAACAATAATTACACATCATAAGAGAAAGAATTGAAAGAATTACAGTTCACGTTGCTGAGGTTGAGTCATATCAAAACTATGCCCACCAGGAATATAAAGGTCTGGGTCGCGTTGTATCATTTGGTACGCATCAGACTATCGGTAATATGATAAAATTCGAAAAAAAACTATAAATTATGAAATCATAATTGTCCGACAAAGTTAAACATATACTTACTAAAGCTTTCGCGAAGTCTTTTGAACCACAAAATAGCCAATTCATATGCTCAACGTTGAAACTCGCATTTGACCTTTCGTTTGCTAAGTCTATTGAGCCTGTTGGTTGAGAGAGATGGTCTTGTATTAAGTTAAGACGATCTAACGCATTGTTTTTCGACATTTTAGAATTTTCGAGCGTACTGTACATATGATTTCTCAGACCGAGCATAGAATTTAAATCGATCGGCAAAACAACGTTGCACAAATCTGATGATTTGACTATAACGAATCTAAAATAAGATTAAGATTCGTAAGATTAGCGTTAGTTTTTCGCACTCACGCTCATTTTTGATATCTGTAAATAGAAATTGGATACTGTATTTGTAATTAGACGTTTGGAAACAACGTTCGAAATTTTCGACTCAAATTATCATGATAAATTAAATTATTCTATGCTCTCTAAATGAATAAAATAAAATTATAACAAATAAAGACTTTTTTAGTTCACAAATATTATTACGAGGATATTCTGGTCGATTTTTCAGAATTTTGTACTAAACCCAGAATTTTGAATTCTTTGTTGATTTTAAAAGTAATTATGCATATCATACATACAGTAACTTACAACTAATTAGCTGTTTTTTTAACAAACATTTAAAAGAAATAGATGCATAACAAATAAAAGAAATCGATGCATAACAAATAAAAGATATAATTCGCGTAATAAATGCTTTAAAAAAAAGCATTGTTCCAATGCAATTAATAACAGTTTAAAACATAATTACGTAATGAGTATTGTTGGCTAAGCATTTTTTGGAGGTAGATTAGTGAGTGAAATAAATTTCTATTATTTGCATTTATAATGAATAACGCATATTTTATTCATTAATGTTAAAAATATCGATATTATACATGAAAAGCTCTATCACGAAGATTTAATCCAAGAAAGCTAAAAATAATTTAATTTAACTCCATTATATCTTCTTCTTCGTCATCTTCGTTACTGTCATCTTCGTTTCCATCATCTTCAATACCATCATCGTTATTATAATCTTCATTATCATCTTCCTCATTTTCATCATAATCTTCATCTTCAAAATCGTCTTCTGAAGTTCCGTAATATTCTTCAACATCGTCATCGTCATCATCAGAATTATAAGACGCATAATATTGACAAGTTGGCTCGTGATAATGATTACCTTTTTTACGAATAGTTTCGTAATCACCAAGGCATCTATTTTCAATTTCAATTTAAGCAAGTTTTTTTTTAAAAAAAACGACAAATTTCAAAGGATGAAAAATGATCAAATGCTTACAGCCAACAAAATTCATAACCACAACGGCAACTCATATGGTCGCATCCACTATTTTTCTCAATAGACATTTTACACTTTGGACATGGTTTAGTATGACGTTCATAATAGGCACGATTGGCAGCATAATCTTTGGTCTGCAATTGCTCAGAGAATTCATCACAGGTCAATCCTATGTGCCAAGGAACATCATGAGTGAAACAGGATTTTGCACTACAAGCTTCGCAAGTGATTATTGGTAAATTATCTATAACGACAATTAAAAAAATATATTTAAAGTTATCCAGAATAGGAAAAGAAAATAATTTGTAAAAAGCTTACCTCCGGTTGTATGCTCTTGACCGGAACCGCACTTTGGAGCCTTGCACCAGCGAAAATCTTGAAGCTTACGAATTGCAGCTCGCAAAAGAAGAGTATCGTACCTTATTTTAAAAGATAGATACATTTAATAACCTATATGATTTAAGAAATAAACCTTATATCACCTGTCGAATAACTCTTTTGGAGCCAATCTTTTTACATCATCATAAGTCAATTCTATCGTACAGCGAGATTTTGGACAACGCACTTGAATTTCACTTCCTTTAGTATTCAATTCTGCTTCAATGTGTCGCTTTATGCAAGTGGAGCAAAGGTCATTATGACCGCAGACGGACGAAATTACTTGAACTGTTGTGTAGTCTTCACAGCAAACACTGCATTCTGACTTCGTTGTCGTCATTATAGAGAGGATTTGAACTAAAAGCAGCTCAACTAATTCAGCGATGGAGCAAATATAATAAGAGGTTTGTGTATGTGTATGCGTGTACAAAATCATATGATTAAGCCTCATTCATTAAGATATAAATACGGCATAACGATAACGACAATTTTGGAATAATGTATATTAATTTTTAAAGAACATCAACGGTCAAGAATGTATTATTGTTTGTCTATACTATCTGTATTAGTAAATAAATTACTATATAATTGATATGATCAAGTAAAAAAATTTTGTACAGTATATTAACGCAGTCCATAATAGTTATTATTAATACGTAGTAAAATATGTACAGTAGTTATAAACCATTATACCCACAATTGTTTAATGAATTCTCATTATCACAAATATTTTTTATTAAACCCCCAATATTCGAAACCTAATTTAAAAATAACCCTATAATAAATCATTCTCAACTTAGTGATGATAAATTTTTAAAAAGACGTATTGAGAGGATTATGGGTGTTCTCAAGTGCCTTAGTCAATCGATCGGAATAGGGTCGGGGGCAAATTTTAATTAATAAAAAATTGGGTTT